CGGCGCCGAGGTCAGGACCAGCGGGGTCGAGGTAAGTACCAGCGGGGCCGGGGTCAGGACCAGCGGGGTCGAGTTCAGGACCAGCGGGGCCGGGGTCAGGACCAGCGGGGTCGAGTTCAGGACCAGCGGGGCCGGGGTCAGTGCCACCGGGGCCGGGGTCAGTGCCACCGGGGCCGGGGTCAGGACCAGCGGGGTCGAGTTCAGGACCAGCGGGGCCGAGGTCAGGACTAGCGGGACCGAGGTAAGGACCAGCGGGGCCGGGGTCAAGACCAGCGGGGCCGGGGTCAGGACCAGCGGGGTCGAGTTCAGGACCAGCGGGGCCGGGGTCAGTGCCGCCGGGGCCGAGTTCAGCCCGCACAGGTAGGCCAGCGAGGTCGAGATGATCAGTGGGACCGAGTTCGGGGACACTTTCACCGGCGGGGTCAAAGTTAGGACCTGATAGAGGAACATCGATGAGATCACAGCTGGAAAGGCTACCCAAAAGTCGAATGAAGTTATATGACCCAGTATCAAGAAAATAATCAAGATTGCACAGATCATCAAGCTGTGGCTCGTCGGTAGCTGGCGGCAGCTTGGCACCTACGGCATTGACATTGGTTAGCTGATACTCATCCGCTGAAGCACCAGCAGGTCCGGCAGCCACCGTCGAGCCGCTGTCGAGGGCCGCCTGAAGATGCTGTCCATCAACACCGTCGGCATCAGCACCAGCAGGTCCGGCGGCCACCGTCGAGCCGCTGTCGAGGGCCGCCTGAAGATGCTGTCCATCAACACCGTCGGCATCAGCACCAGCAGGTCCGGCGGCCACCGTCGAGCCGCTGTCGAGGGCCGCCTGAAGATGCTGTCCATCAACACCGTCGGCATCAGCACCAGCAGGTCCGGCGGCCACCGTCGAGCCGCTGTCGAGGGCCGCCTGAAGATGCTGTCCATCAACACCGTCGGCACCAGCACCAGCAGGTCCGGCGGCCACCGTCGAGCCGCTGTCGAGGGCCGCCTGAAGATGCTGTCCATCAACACCGTCGGCATCAGCACCAGCAGGTCCGGCGGCCACCGTCGAGCCGCTGTCGAGGGCCGCCTGAAGATGCTGTCCATCAACACCGTCGGCATCAGCACCAGCAGGTCCGGCGGCCACCGTCGAGCCGCTGTCGAGGGCCGCCTGAAGATGCTGTCCATCAACACCGTCGGCATCAGCACCAGCAGGTCCGGCGGCCACCGTCGAGCCGCTGTCGAGGGCCGCCTGAAGATGCTGTCCATCAACACTGTCGGCATCAGCACCAGCAGGTCCGGCGGCCACCGTCGAGCCGCTGTCGAGGGCCGCCTGAAGATGCTGTCCATCAACACCGTCGGCACCAGCACCAGCAGGTCCGGCGGCCACCGTCGAGCCGCTGTCGAGGGCCGCCTGAAGATGCTGTCCATCAACACCGTCGGCATCAGCACCAGCAGGTCCGGCGGCCACCGTCGAGCCGCTGTCGAGGGCCGCCTGAAGATGCTGTCCATCAACACCGTCGGCATCAGCACCAGCAGGTCCGGCGGCCACCGTCGAGCCGCTGGCCACGGGTGAATACAACTGCGCGCAAAACGAGTGGGTTATGATCAACATGCTCAGTTTATCTCCTTGAGCGAAACATTAGTTGTGACCTTCAGGAATAGTTGGTAGGGGAGGCGGACTGGAAACATCGGATCATACGATTTGATGTTCATTTTATTGTATTGAGTGTCAGGCATGCATTGAGTGTCAGCAATGATAGCTGCAATGATTGCAATGATAGCAATGATTGCTGATTTTCATGAACATCACAGACCCAGCAGGAAAGCTAGCTATTGCCGCCTCGGTGATTTTTTTTTTCGCTGAAAACATTTGCCATTCACCGGACACCGCTCATTTCGCCCAATGTGAAAGGGAAAAACAATTGTTGTTTAGGTGCGTTTTGGACGTAACACTCACCAGTTGATTTGAGTCCGCAGGTTTGTCCACTGTCGGTGTAGAGACCAGCTCAAGTGCGGGCGTTAGAACCGCACAGGACGCACTACTGGACGCATCTTCATGCCGCATCGCACTTGCACATCGCACTTTTGCCAGCGGCAACTCATCGTCTGACACATCTGCACCATGATAACAGAGTCACATCACTCAATGTTTGTGTTTCATTTTTATTAGCGCACATAATTAATCAAATTTTATTTATTTTAAATGTCATATATTTCCTCATAACCTACATTTTTCATCATGTTTACTGAAACGCCAATTATTTTGTGAAATTATTCATACGTAGGTTTTATAAAATAACAAATTCTAGAAACGAGCATGTAAGAAACCTTACATTACACATCCTTTGATATGCCCTCGGAGAGAATACACTGCCATTCGGGACTCCCGTCATTTTCCGCTGGAGGCTGAAATGTTATCCTTAACGAGACTCGCACGTTTTAACGGACTACAAGATGGCTATATTCGTTAAAATCCTATGTTGAAGGCGTGCTATTTTCTTCAAATGTAGGCATCTTACCTTGAACTAGGAGGCGTGCGGCCAAGGGGCTGACCGCTACGGTGCCCGTCCACGCTCGACCACCCGAATGTCGCATGCTGACCCGTGAGCCGGCGGCAATAGTCCCGGAACACTTCAGCGACTTCACGGGGACATAGTGATAGTCACCTCGACTTGTGTCGTCCCAGTCAACTCTTACATATACGTTGCCTCTGCGTGTCTTAAAATCTGCGTCAATCGGTACACCTGGTATCGGTCTCTTTCGCTTTCTCCCCATCCTATCATAAATCACGATCAAGAACTGTCACCTGTCACCAAAGACACTACTTAAGCCAGCGCGGAGCGAAAACGATCAGCTTAAATTGCCCGCCATGGCGCCAAAACTTGTTATTGTTTACGTTCCTTGATTTTTTTTAGTGAAGCACGTGCTTCGGTACTGATGACAGGCGGCAAGTTTTTAATGGGGTTTTAAATTAGCGTGTCCATTTTAGACAGTTCAGAAGCATGATTATCTCAGGCATTATTGAAGTTAGGCCTTCTCTGCGCGTGTATTCGTTTATTATGTTATCACGACAATAAACTTACTTAAGACATCACAATAATCAACGATGAGATTAAAAGTCTACCAAGATCACAACATGACAAAATGTCGTGCATCCTCCGCCGTGCTGGTATCAAACACGCCACTCCGGGTCCACGCGTTTCTTCCTTTGGTTTTCGAGCTGCTACGAGCGTAAACCGCAATGGAAGAAACGGGTGAAATCTCACGCGTTTTTTCCTTTGGCCCCTTGGACCAATTGCACCCACCTCGCAACTGACGCTATTTTGCCAAACTAAGATAGGTCATAACTTTTTCAAATAACATCAGATCGTTCCAAAATTGGTATAGTAGGATGCGTCTTGAGAAGGGCTATCGATTGATATAAAAAAACAAAAATGTCAAAAATCGAGTTACGCGTTTCTTCCTTTGGACGGCAGTATACTTGGTAGGATAGGATAGTTGATGGATTTACTGCGAGTTTTACGCCCACGAATCCGAAGTGATGCAGGGGCAGGATGGTTCAGGGATCCCGAATCACTAATACTGCAGGGGATGTTTCGGTTTTGGGGTACCCAGTCTGCTTTTTCTCGGTGCTCGTCCATATAGTCTAACTCTTCTTGTTCTCGTTGCACGTTGCTAGTGAAGTCTGCAAGTCTGCGAATCTCCAGTTTCCTCTCACTCACGCGCTGAAAGCGAAGTAATGGCTGATAAGGGGGGATGTTTATAGATGATTTGGAGGCCCTGTGTAATTGCCCAATGTCCAGCGGTATGCGAGGCTTGCGTAAGAGTGACTCACATCTCGGTCCTATTTACAGGACCCCGCCAAGGACGCTGTCCGCGAAGAGCTGTGATAATCGCTTTGGGCCTGTTGCTCTATGCTGAGTTACATCATGGGAGACCGTGCGTCAAATATCGCTGATAAGTCGGTACCTATGCTGTTTTGCACGGACTGGGTTGGTGGGGTGTATTTTTGTGATTTTTGTGGTAACGGGTGACCTCTTTGGGGAGCACTTTTGAAGTGTTGGTGATACAGAACTGCGTTTCCAGTATGTCGCCATTCTGTCTATTGTTGATATAGCTAGATGGTTATGGTGGAAAGAATGAAGGCAAACCGTTGATCTGTTAATCCATTGCAGTTTGTCTGTAATTTATTGTTGCCCGTTGCTGTCGTTTTTGGGGAGGGGATGGTGTTTGGTGCCGTATCCACGTCTTTTATCTTCGCACTCCTTCGAATTTGTCCATGTTTGTCAGACTCAATTGTCTAGAGTGAGATCATCGATCTTCTTTTTACGGTATGCTACTGCAGCGATACTGCACTGCCTTATGTTTGCTGGTGTCTGTGTGCTCCTTCGGGTGATATGGTATTTATTTAATGCAAGGATCTACTTAACAGATATGGCATGTGAGAAGGCATGGCTTAGGGATGGGAAGTTGTCTGTGGTCCGTAAAAGATTCCTGTCATGCCCCACCGACAGTAACCAGCGTTCAGCATGGGCATTTGTCCTACCGGCGTCATTGGTGATGCATCTCGCTAATGCTGTTTTTGAACTGGTGTGGTGCCTTTACGTCTGTGATATTCGCAGAATTATGGGATTGAAATTATTAGTGTTATTCCTGGCACATTACTTCTGACACGCAGGTATTGTTGGATTTTGTTTTGAATATATAAAGGAAGTATACCACTATTTTAGTGGATGGTAATCTTGGTTTGGGTATCACTATCAATGTTTTGCTCCAGCTATAACTGCCTCGTAACCAGTCCGGCAGCTGGGTGTGTCACTGTGCCAGTATCACCCGCCGCTGCGACACGTGAGTTAGGTCGCTGCCAGCCCGGCCCCCTGGCCGGCTGCCCAGGCACCTCCGTCCAGGGCGGCCAGTTGACGCACGCGTCACCGCGACCGACGTGACCGTGGCACCACGCTGCCAACAGCGCAATCTGGACAAGGAATCGTTACGTTTACAATAAATATTTGGCATATTGGCGTGTTTTCTGGTATATTCGCCGGAGCAGAGTAATTTTAGGGACGTAGTGCTCGCTCCTCACATACACATGTATTCACCATTGCAGTCCTTTAGCGTCGAGACGACACCGCCCGAGGGGCTATCTGTCCAGTACAGTGTCTAAGTACACCATCCTCCGAGGCAGCCGGGTGGCTGCTCGGTCACTCAGCGGCGGCCCAGCCGGCCGGCCGGGCACCGCCTCCAGTCACGCGCCGCTCCCTCCCACCATCCGCCCCGCAGCTCGCACTCACAGGCACTCAGTCAGATGCTACCGCCGGCAGCTCCTCCGTCTACTGCGCCAGCACCTGGTCCCAGTCGGACCAGAACTTGGACTTCATACGGTCAAAGTACTGGCAGAGGTTGTCGTGCTTCTGGCGCACCTGGACCTCGACCTCGGGCGCGGTGGCGCACAGCGCCTGCGCCAGCAGCGAGAACGCCGCCGCGTCGTAGGTGGTGGGCTCGTTGCCCAGCAGGTAGGGCTGCTTGCCGAGGGTGTCGGCCAGCGCCTGCAGGTCACGGTACAGGAAGAACAGCACTTCGGGCTCGGTGAACCGGCCCACGCCCTTCAGCCACATCCGCTTCTTGATGACGCCGGAGAAGAAGAGCTTGTAGATGATGACCATCTTCTTCAGCTGCGCCGGCAGGATGGTGGCCATGTACTCCATGTTGTCGATGACGTAGCGCTTCATGGCTATCAGGCCCATGGTGTGCTCGTCCAGCATCACCTGCGTGATGCGGCCGACGGCGCGCTGGGCGGGCGTCAGCTTCTCCGTCGCCGCCACGGGCTTGTTGAAGTGCTTCTCGAGGTAGTCTAGGATCAGCTCGGAGTCGTTGATCTCCTCGCCGTTGATGGTGATCCAGGGACTCATCAGCTTGCCGCCCATGGGCTCCTCCGTGTCGATGACATAAGCGATGCCGGCCATGCGGCAGTAGGTCTCGATCTTGAGGGCGAACGGCGATATGTTGGGCACGGTGGTGCCGCGCGGGTACGTGTGCAGCACCACCACGTCCTTGCCCTGCTGCGCCCATTGCGCGCGCCGCTGACGGCGCCGGTACTGGGTGTACAGCTTGACGCCGATGCCGACGGCGGCCGCTCCCAGCGCGAGCTGCAGCAGACGGCGGCACGCCGGACTGTCGGCCACCTCTCTGCAGGCGCTGCGCAGACCTCCGCTGCCGAACCGCGGCCCGCCGCCGCCGCCACCGCCACCGAACATCCCCCCGACGGTGGGCGGCGGTCCGCTGTAGCCTCCGCCTCCGCCGCCGCTGTACGCCGGGCCCGGTCCTCCGTGCATTCTGGCCGACCACGTGGACACGCGCCGAGCTTCTACACGCACTTTACGCAGACGCCGCCCGATCTGCCGTGGACCACACCCGTCACCGGTCGCCGCCGACTGGCTCCGGCCGCCTGCGCACCGCCGCCGCCGCCGCGGTCGATCGTTCCGTGACCTTGAGAGCGCCAGCTGGCTGTCAGGGGCGTATCCAGGGCATCAGTCACGGCGGCCACAGCTGACGACACCGACGGGAGACCATTCACATCGGGGCTTCCCTTGATCGAGGGAGGGGTTAGCCACTCCGGGCAGAGGGGCACTTTGTCGGCCTGAGATAGCACACCGCGCTGTCCGGAACATCCGAAAGTGCGTCGGTACCTGCCTGGGAAGGGTGACAATATGCAAGTCATGCTTGCTGGCACATATGCACGCGCCTGCCGTGGTGAGCTCACTGAACTCATTGTATCGCCTGCGGCGGTGCGGGAGCGACTTAATTTCAGTTCTCCGTGATGTGAAGCGTTCAAGGCACCTGTCTGCGGTCTGCGGGGGTCGGGGAATGGTCGGGAAAGACTGAACTCACGGCTGTGCCGGGTGGGGAACGGGTGGGTCACGCTGCATTGGTGCCGGGCCTGAGAACGTGAGGGCGAGCTGGAAGTGAAACAGGCAGGTCCGGCTGGGATTGGGGAGGAGGTGGGGCTGAGGGGGGAGACGGTCAGAAGGTGCAGAGAGTGGGTAGATTGTGAAGGGGACAGGCGAAAGCCAGAGATTGTGGGCTAAGCTGAATACGCTCGAAAGACAACAGCCGTGGCTGGTGGCTCCCTTGAATGAATCATTGACTCGACAGACGAGATCTGGACCGGTTGGAAATTTATCTGAAGGTGCGACGGAAGTCGTTATCTCATCCGCGTACGCGCTCGAGACACGATTATCGTCATCTCCACTTTTTGGATGTAGTTGATAACGCTATACGATCAGAACCAGTTTGAAACGGAAGATCTGAAAACGTTGACCTCCTAGTTCGCGTTCCTCTCCCAACATTGTAATGTTTTGAACAACCAAAAAAAGTTAATACCGCGATCATACAATAGTGTTCCAGTAGCCAAATGCGCGTGTCAACGAACTCTCGACGTAGATTATTGTCTTATACAATGATCATAAATAGAGAACTCAACTCGGTTATCTAGTATTTGATGATGAAATGTTCAGTATGATGATGACAGTAGCTGCATATAGACAGGAAAGTTGCAACTTTCGGTGGCTTATATTGACTTACGAACAGACAGGTAACATAGTGATGAAGTGCGGGGCCGTAGCTAAGCATAAAAAGTAGGAACAGGCTGCAAGAAGCAACATAATGGAGAGCTAAATTATAAATAATTTATTGCTTTATCACACTGACAAAAATATGAGATATTTGACACATACTATAACATTTCTGATTTCACGAACGATAAACGATAATTGATAGGATACACAGCTCCAAGTAGCTCAGACCAAGTACCTCCAAGACACCTTACCATTAATCACGACTAGATTACATCAGTGAATTGGGGAGTTGGGGATCCCTGAACATTTGACAGACAACACATACATGGGTGCAGGATCCCAATTTATCGACAGCGCTCTGTGAACACACCCAACATTCGATGGACCGCCTGAGACATCAGACAAAACTTGGACTTATACCTATACCACATACGGCTGTGAGACATACCATCACAAACGGTATGGCAACACATCACTGGGCAGGCATCACATTCACAACAGCTGATTGACATTGAGAGTGGAACCCCTATCAGTGGGCACTGGGCAGTGCGGCAGATAGGCGTAGCCTGATAGTCGACATGTTGACTGACCTGACGGTTGACCCTGCACCAGGTCACCGGAGGCAGCATCCGTTGACCTCTCCCGTTCACCTGGCCCGAGCAGCACGACCCACCGAGCTCGTGAGTCCAGGCTCCACGCATGTAAGGTCAGACGGAGACCCTTCGGGGACAGCCGACTTCAGCGCCCCTGGCGGCCGGGTCCTCCGTTACTGGGGCGCCCCCATGACGGGCGGGCTGAGCGCCGACACCAGCGCCACGCCGCGGTGGATGGCCGAACTAAGCAGCGCCGGACAGCGCGGGCTGGCCGCCTGCCGCTCCAGTGCCACGCGCAGCTCGGCGAAGATGGTGCGCGAGTAGGGGTTGCGGCGCGAGGCGTACCGCAGCGACAGGAACCGGTAGTAGATGAACGGCACCAGCAGACTGCCGCGGCCGCTGGCGAACAGAGACACACCGGAGTCAGGTGGTGGGTTCATCCGCTGTAAATTCCAGGTGTGGGTCTCATGGACGTCGGTCAGAACTCAGAACTTAGATTTATAGCTGCGTTCCGAATCAACGAGAGAAAATTTGAAACACATCAACAGAAAGCAGTTATTAACACCCAAGTCCAGTTAAAGAATTCAGAAACATTTCAGCAAAAGCATTTCAGAAACCAATACAAAGCAGCGAGTACACCATCTAAAATCTTACAAGTTTCGCAGCCTGTGCGATGAAAAGCTGCTATGAATATGCCTAAAATATGCAATAATAGTACTGAGAGTCTCACAATTATCAGTTATCATATGCACTAGCCATTACGCCAAAGATATGGTTTTGTGGTTGGCTATTCTAAAAGCTTGCCGGTTCTCCAGACAGATTTTATTATGCGAGACGACCGAAAACAACAATTCCAACACTGCCCGTGCGTTAAATGGCCGCATACGTACACAAGCAGCATGGCGACTGTGTAGGGCATCAGGACGATCTCGGCGATGGCGATGGCTCTCAGCATCGCCTGTGACTTCAGTTCGACCAGGGAGATGAGGTAGCGCAGCGGCGCTGCCGAGCTCGGTCCCAGCAGCTGCGGCAGATGGCGCCGTCACGCACCGATAACACCGGGCGGTCGTCAACACGGCACGACCGGCGGATATCACAGATGGAGCGGCGCCTGTCGGCTGGATGTAATCCACCCTGTCTAAGCGCTTCATTAGCGAGAGGGCATTTGTACTAGTCCCACACACATACACACACATACGGACACACTAACGGTATTTGTTCACTTACATTCCCAAAGAACCCCTCCCCCTCCACAGTCACACATATGAACACAGCCTTCGTCGACTTTCATATAATCAGCACCTGGAGCCCCCTCCCCCCAAGTCCAACGGCCCAGTCAAAACCATCCAGCCCATACACGCAGCACACAATGCTGTTTGTTTACGCTCACATCGAGTAGCGACAACTCCCTCCCCCCCCCCCACCACCCCGATTAGCAAACACTTTCACCACACAATACCGACACAGACGGCCTCCATCGACTCACATCGAGCAGTTGCAGGGTATAGCTGGAGCTGTGCAGCACGGCGAACAGCGTAACCGGCAGCAGCACCAGCGTCAGAGGCGGCGGCACCACGAACACCAGCGCGTACATGACGTAGTGCGAGGCGTCCTCGAGCACCAGCCGGGCGCCCCACTCGCGGGTCAGCTGCGGGGGAGGCAGACGCTGACGCAGTCGTAGCACAGAGGTGAGCAGCGCTGCTAGGAGAGCGGACACGTACGCCATGCGCGCCGGGCTGTAGGGAAAAGAGAGAGGAGAAGGGTCATCAGTGAGATTCAATACGAGATCGGAGTGTGGGTGCAGGGAACGATGATGATGACCTCAGACACACACAAAGCGGAAAGACGGAGCCTCAGAGAGTCCCCACATGAGACCGGAGTGAGGGTACAGCTAATGATCTTTGACACACAGCGGAGGAACGAGTCCTCAGACATAGTGGCATGTGAGACCGGGGTGTGGGTGCAGGGTTAGGCGATGACAATCACTGTCACGATCAGTCTACATTCTACAACGTGACTTTTGGATGGCAGCGGCAGGACAGCGAAATGAATGAAATGCGGCCCGACGTAGAACAACAAACAGTGATGATGTCAACAATATCTGATAAGGCATTCAGTCGTCCACAGTTCCTGGACAAACAAGAGGACGAAAGCTGGGGTGTCTATAGGTAAAAAAGTTTTCGATCGAATGCAGTTTGCATTTTTATTCAGATGTGCTAAATTGGGATTTTGGGGAATAGCCATCACCGAACAATCCAATCACCAAACGTTTAAATAAATACATGAAAGGTTGCTATGCCTAAATCTTGTCTAACAGTCTCGGGAGAACAAATGTACGCATACCCAAAAAAAAAAAAAAAAAAAAATAGAAAGAGTAAATAAAAAGTATCATTTTTCATTTCTATCATTTTCATCGTCTCTCGACTTCCAACGCGTTCTTACAACATTTGAAGCTAAAGATACCCGTGCTACTGCAACGAATCATCCTATTTCCTAACGGGGAACCCTGTTTAACGATCCCTTATTTCACCACCACAAAACGACTCAATCCACATTCCCCGCACTTTTACAAGATATTAATAGAGGGAGCAAAAAATAGCGTCCGGGATCAATAAACGTGTGAGCATCCCCCGTTCGGCGTTAACAGGCATTCTTTGTTCGCACAGTAGGTATGGTCCAGGCAGCTTCCTGAATCCTGTCCGTTACTGATAAGAACCTTTATTTGACACGGCATAACTGAATCGAAAACTTCCAAGCCAGATAAACAGATCGATCCTGATGATCGCGATGATTAAGTTCTTTAATTTGATTATCGCAATGATAACGTTTAGTTATCAAAGCTATAAACAATTGTAAATGGGAGCAGAAATGACGTTGCGATGGAAAAAGTTCGCTAGTACTGCAGCTGATAGTAGCATCATCAGCAACCGCAGTCGGGGTCATAACGCACCACTCCTCAGAGAGGGGGGGGGGGTATGCCCACCGCGCCACTCCTCCCAATCTCTGAACGGTGTGCGCGTGGGAAGCCAGCTCTGTGGTCCCACGCCGCCGGCCCGGAGACGTGACACGTCCTGTCGGGATCGGCGCATTTTTCTCTCATCTGCAGGCCGCGAGCCCATGCAGCCCGGCTGGAAAAGAGTGCTGCTCGTCCGACGGCTGATGGCGGCCGAGATACCGGGCTGGGCGGGACGACCGGAGGCTGGCCTCAGAGCGCGGTCAGACTGCGGGCGGCGCGGACACGGAACGGATCGCGGCACCTGTCACACGCCGCGACATGGCGCTGCTAGGAACCATGCAGGTGAGGAGTCAAAACTTCTAGGTCATTTTCTAGGTCAGGTCAATGTCCAGGTGACAGGATATCACCGAAGGTCATTTTATTTTGAAATTATTGAACAAAGTAGGGCGTAGCTCTAAAAATAAGAACTAGAGCATCGAAAAAAAAACATTGATAAGTCATTCGTAAGTATGACAAATAATTGACTAAAATTTAATGGCTTGACTTCAAGAAGGCAAAAACCGTAAAAATGAAGTTGTTGTGGAAAAGTTTACAGCAATACTTTTGCCATAAAGTTTGCACAAAGATTTTACCAGCATCGTGCTTCTCTCGTTGAGAAACTTGAAAATTCGACCAGGCTCAGGTCATGACCTGACTTGGGAAGGTCATGATGCATAGGTACACCCGTATTGATGAGCTGAACACATCCAAGGTATTGTCATCTCCCTATCTTGTGTTTATCAAAGTTATTGCAGAAGACTGCTGGTGAACTTTCATGACCCATATGACCTTACTAACGGTAGGTACTAGGTATCATGTCAGACATTGTGAGGTTCATTCACATTCAGTGACAACACAAAAGTAAATATTCTAAATAGTCATATTCTATTATTTAGAATATTTAGATCAGAATATTTGCTTTTGTGTTGTCACCGAATGTGAACTTACGATAGGTATAACGTGGGGTCGCGGATGCACTTTTTTTTACTTCGGTCCCTATTCGATATTTATTTTATGAACGACGACTTGTACCTAAAAATAGTGTGACTTAAGTTCGAAAAAGGCAAAATGCAAAATTTTGCAATTGACATAAATGGACAGGTTGTAAAATAATCGGGTAACTTTAAACTCTCAGGAAAAGTGATAGTCAAGCATTAATGGTGAACTTTTAAGACCGAAGATGAACTTGTGAGTTGTGAGTAGTGACCCGACTTTTTATATGGTAAACAAATGGCCGTGTCCGTGACCGTTAATGACCGTTAACCGTTGACAAATGGCATGACTGTTAACCTTCCAGGCGGTGGGGGGGGGGGGGGGGCATTTTTTGCCCTACCTTTAGTTTTTTCGATATATCTCCAGAACCACTGCGCCGATGTCACCAAACTTTCAGTACCCTCCCGTGAATAGCTTTTGCACATTGTGACCAAAAATTTTTCCAAAGGCTATGATAGGTTGGCCGTTAATGACATCGGGGTGACGTCATTTCTGCCATTTTCGACCCCAAAAAAGTATCGTGGGAAGAGCTGTCAGGCCTACAGCTTCAGAGATGCACAAACATGTTTCGACATAAAAGGTGTAGAATCAACAATGCTACAAAACTGGTGTCTCGGATTTTTGAAAGTTTTAGATTTTGACCCTCAAAAATAAAAAATAGATTTTTTTGAATATACAGGGTGTCCCAAAAGTAAGGTCATCATTTGTTTTGGCCACACCGCCAAAAATACGCGATGGATAGAAATAAATAGGACATGATACGAAAGAGCATTTTATAAAATTTTATTCTGATAACATATGAGTCAATACATTGGCTCGTAGCCCCACATTTGCTGCTTTTCTGCATGGCTACCATTTCGGGCCGCGTGCATGAATAGACTGCGTTTTACTTCCTCCACTATTCTGGAGCGATTCTCTGGTGAGATGCCGCTTATGTTTGCTCGGAGGGATCATCCTTTAGTTCTTCCCGGCTCGTTGGGTTGTCCTAAAAGACAACCTTTCCGTTGTGTACCCAGAGAATAAAAATATGAAGGTGTAACGTCAGGTGCCCGCTGAGGCCATTCAATGGCGTTGCCCTGACTGAAAATTACGCGATCTCACATCCACTCTCGGAGACAATGCATGATCTTCAGGACGGTGCAAGCATAGTCTCCATCCGGCTGAAACCACTGCTGGTTGATGGTGTCGGCACAGCTGCGTTGCGACGAGCGGAAGAACCACTGGGAGGACTCTCGGCCACCTCTCTTGATTTATTTTCACCCGATTCCCGCTGTCGTCCTCAGGACCTCGAAGCACTGGTGGCTAAGTATACATGCCCTGTGCGTACGTTATACCTTTTTTTCTGACGTTTTACCGGTTGAGGCGAAACTATGCATGAGTTCAGAGATAGGGCGAGCTGATAGGGTCTGCTTAGGGCCGAAAACTGGGCGGTATTTACCCTTTGTTTTAATGACGGACCCTCTCTAAGAGTTGAATTTCGACCTTCTCAGTTGTATGCCTACTGCTCGGTGTAGTTATGATCAAAAATGGTTTAAGCATGCAAGAAAATAATTTTATGGATGTACCTTGCACGTGTTAAAATTGGAATTGATTCGGACTCTTACTTCTCGAGATATTTAAGTTTTAAATCATGACCTTACTTTTGGGACACCCTGTACTAGCCAAAAAATCCAAAAGGTTTCTTGGATTCCAAAAAACCGGAATATGTGACAGCCCCTACCACCTTCTATCCACACACCAAATTTGAGATCGATACCTCTTTTTTTGGCCAAGTTATAGCGAAAAAACCGTTCAAAAGTGATGACGTCAAGTTTTCAAACTCAATTTTTAGCAATTCTAGACCTCGTAGCGCAAAACAAGGACCACCATTAGACTCCCCGTGACGAGCTGCATCGAGTCAATACCTATTTTATGCAAAACTATCAACTTTGAAATTTGACCTTTTTTGACCTGACCTTGACTTGACCTTCACCAGAAAGTGACCTAAACCGTACCTGTTGGTCTTATAACCAACACCATTGAGTTGTAAATGAAAAATTGGCCATAAAACATGCATCGCACGACGCAAAACCTTAGTAAAGTTGGGTTCATGTGCTGAACCTTGGTGACCTGACCTGTGACCTGAACTGGTATTAGCAGTGACCTCTAATAGCAACATATGTACTAGGCAACTGACGCCCTATCGCTGATTTTCGACAAAATTCGTTTTGCTCGGTGTTATAGCGCATTCCCTAGAAGACCCGTGAACGGTGAAACATTTTATCTTTGACCTGACCAGTGACGTCATCGGTGACCCCGAGGTCAATGAAATTTGGTTTCCTTCAACAAATTCGACAGGGCTATCGAACGCCCTTTGTATTTTACGAATTCGTCCAGTAGTTTCGGAGAGACGGGGGGGGGCAAAAAATGCCCCCCCCCCACCGCGCGGAAGGTGGCCGGGAGGCCCACCGCCTGCCGGGTTACCAATGACCGTGGACCACCATGCTAGGATTGGAATGCGTAAATACTACGAACATAACGTGCTTGAGATTCACAACAAAAAGCCAGTCGAAGTCCAGCAGGACGGTCTTCTTATCCATGAGACAGAATGCCTGACAACAAAACAGGCAAAATTGGGAAGGATCGAGCCAGCTCCGATTCTGTGTAATTAACAATTGACATGGAATCCCAACTTCCCACAAAGGAAAACGAGATGAATCAACGTTTAAGATCATGAAAAGTGTGTAGGTACCCGCGATCCCGAACCTT